GGTCACCACGAAAAAGAGAAAGGGTGAGAGTATGCAAACTTGTATGACAATGGTTTTCACTTCGAACGATTATGTGAGCTGTCCTCCATGCACGATTCTGCAGTTTAATCCATCATTAGAATACCGTATAATAAAACAGTGTAGAACAATTTCGAAACTCAAGAATCTAAGAGTAAACAATGAGTGAATACATCTATGCCATTACGATTTTAAACCAAGTCACGCAACAGCTTCAACCACCATTGGTATAAATCATCACATAGATCCTAGCCAGATAGTGTGCACCTATTGACGCGAATCAGATCAACATTAGTTGACTTAATTTGGCTGCCACTAGCCTTTTTTTAAAACTTACCATAACACAAGCAAAAATCGCATGTCGTAAGTATGTATATCAGTTCAGGTTGCTACACCACATTAACAGAGACGCAAATGTCAGTTCAAATCCTATAGTGATACAGATAGTAGAGGTATTAATGGTAATGAAGAAGACTAGGGTTTAAAGATATTATTTAAGAAGTATAATTCAGTGAGATAAGGTTAGAAAGACAAAACTAGAGGTGCTGACGAATCCAGAAGATTAGGATTTGAGAGAGCACAACAAATGGATGCCCCTGCGCCATTGAAAACGATTTTGAGCCATGTCATTCAAGGTCTCTAACCATTGGTGACTTTCGTCTCGCAGACCCCAACCACGTAGCCTACATCTACCAACATGACTCAGTCCACTTGTCAGTGACTTCATGGATTTGTGCCATGTTTTAGTCTGGCCGCCCCTAACTTTCTTCCAACCTACTCATACACCACAAAATATAGCTCGTCGAGGCAGTTGGTTGTGACATATATTTCTATCTATCTTACTTACTACGTACTTGCGCCTGTTACCCTCCAAAAGATCATAGGCCACCAACCAGCATTCTCCAACCTACTCTATCCTGGACCTACCTTTCTAGTTCTATCTAATTGTTGATCTCTATCTATCAGTTACAGTTAATTAACCATAAATCTATTATTCATTGGTGTATTACAAATTTTTACAAGTTATGTATTGATGTAGTGTGCTGTGATTTTGATCATACGTCCCTTAAGTCTGTTGTATGTGTGTGTTTTATTCAATGGTGAAGTTGACGATTTGATGTATACCATATCTGAGTACGTAGAATTATCATAATTAATCATTATTGAAGGTCTTGAGCTCGACTCTTAACGTTAGTATCCATGATGTGAACTAAAAAGAAAATTATGTAAACAGAAGACTGTTTTTGGGGGAATATTCTGTCTGAAATAGAGGAACAGTTAAAAAAAAATCAATCAAACGATAAGTGTACATGATTGGACAAGAAGTTGCTTTCATTTATAAAAGATGAGAAATACACACCAGTAATGACTTTATTTTTTATAGTTGATTGAGTTTGGACTTCCGTAGGTTACTAGTCTTCGATCAACGATGTCTCCGAAGCATTGCTCGTGTATCATGGGACAACCGTATAGGCAATGCTGTCGTTGGGAGACGAGTTCTAGGTAGGGATGGCAAATCAATAGATGAAGTAGTGAAACTTCATCAGTTGAGGTGATTGGGACATGTGGTACGTATGACTAACCATCGACTGCCTCGACGAGCTATGTTTTACACTGTAGGAGTAGGTTGGAAGAAAGCTAGGAGAGGCCAAACCACAAATCCATGAAGTCACTGACAAGTCAGTCAGTCAGTCAGATGCAACGTAGAACTTCGTACGTAAGTACATCAGTTCATGTCGCCATACCACATCAGCACAGAGATGTAATTGTCAATTCAAATCCAATAGTAGAAGAGGTAGTAAAGGTATTAGAAGTAATCGGAGAGGTTAGGATTATAAGATATTATTCAAGAAATATGATTCAGTGAGAAAAGTTTAGAAAGTCGAAACAAGAAAGGTTGAAGAATCCAGAAGATTAGGATTTGAGAGAACACAATGAATGGATGCACCGGCGCCATTGCGAACGATTTTCAGCCATGTCACTGACAAGTGAACTGAGTGATGTTGGTAGATGTAGACTACCTGGTTGGGGTCGGCGAGACGAAAGTCACCGATGGTTAGAGACCTTGAACGCGACATGGCTCAGAATCATTTGCGATGGAGCAGGTGCATCCACTTTTTGTGTTCTATGAAATTCTAAGCTTCTGCATTCCTCATAATCTCTACCTTTTTCCTTCTAAATTTATCTTAATGAATCATATCTTCCCTCCTTAATCTTCTCCATTACTACTTATACTTCTATTATTGCTATCACTGTTGGATTTGAACTGACAGTTGCGTCTCTGTGCTGATGGGGCATGGCAACCTGAACTGATGTATGTACGTACGAAGTTCTGCGTTGTATCTGTCTGTCTGTATGTCAATCAATCAACTCCGTTTCTCACCATCTATCAGTTTAGTCAATTCGATTAGCTGGTTAGGGCTTGAGTATGATGAGTATGAACTATATGGTATTAGTGTAGTGAACGAGAACACAGGTGAGGCAACCGAAATTGTATCTAACGAAAATTACAGAGTTACTCAGTAAAATCAGAAAACCATATCGTAAATCGTTAATTTGCAAAATATCAGTTCATCATATCGAACTGGACTGTTCCTGTTGCAAAACATCAATCCATTGTTACTATTCATGCGTTTCATACAAATCCCATTGTGTTCTAACTCTTCCTTTCTTGATCTTCCCCCATCTTCTGCTGCTGCCAGACATTACCTTGACACTCACGTCATATACTACTACTTATAAGTAGCTCGCACCACATGAGTATCAACTATTGAATATTGTACATTGTAACACAAATAAATCAATAAATTGAATGTTTGTTTTTTGTTTTACATTGAACCAATATCTCAACTTACCAAGTGTTTTATGTACACCATCAGCTTCATCTTTTTTAGTTTCATCTAAACGTGAAATATTTTGTATAATTGATTGAATTAATTGACCAGAAAATAAAACTTCCAACAATGGATTGACTTTGTTTAGACCAGCTTCTTGTAAACAATTTGATTCAAGTAATTCATGCAGTAGATCAATAACTGATAAACTAATATCCGTATTTTCATGTGATAATAACCCTAACAATAATGAGATTGGACGTTGTTGTTCAGCTAACAATGGATATAATTCTGGATTAGCTGCAAGTACCTTAAAAAAAAGAAAAGAAAAGAAATTGAGTGATTTGTTGAGAATTGTTTTTTTGAAGAAGAAGATTTGAAGTGATAAGTCGGTTGTCTGAATATAGGTTAATCATTGATGTGAAATGACTTGCTATATATAATGACATGTACACATCATAATAACTTTGAATATTTATTATCCGACCTGATTGACTCTGGATAGGATAGTTAAAAACGAGTAAGAGATTTGTTCGCCATACATTGGATGCTGTGCTCAGTGGTGGTACAGAGGTTAAGCGTTTGCGCGGAAGTCTAAAGGTCCTTGGCAGATGTAGGCTATCTGGTTTGGGTCCGCGAGACGATAGTCACCAATGGTTGGAGACCTTGAACGACATGGCTCAGAATCGTTTGTAATGGCGCAGGTGCATCCATTTGTTGTGTTCTCTCTAATTCTAACCTTCTGAATTCTTCATCATCTCTAACTTTCTCCTTCTAAATTTATCTCATTGAATTATACTTCACTCCTTAATCTTCTCCATTACTGCTAATAATACTTCGGCGCTTAACGAAAGCTCGTGAAGAGCAAACTCGAGAAAACCAGTCTGGTTTCAGACCTGGATGTGGATGTACAGACCATATTTTCACACTACGACAGGTCCTGGAACACAGGCACACATTTAGACGTCCGACAATAGTATTAATCTTTGACCTTAAGTCGGCATTTGACTCAGTGGATCGTGAGGTTCTATGGAAGTGTCTGTCAATGAAAGGTGTACCAAAGAAGTACAATAACCTCATACAAGCTCTCTACTCGAACACCACTGGTCGAGTGAGAGTTTATGGCGAACTGTCACCGGAATTCTTTACTTCAAGTGGTGTCCGTCAGGGATGTCCACTTTCTTCATTCTTGTTTAATTTTATCATAGACATGCTACTACAAATAACCTTATCCTCGTCTGAATTTTCTGGAGTAGACCTTTTACCAGGTGGCTCGCTTATCGACTTAGAATATGCCGATGACATTGTCCTACTCGGTGAAGACGCTGACAATATACAGAGTCTTCTGACCACCCTAAGCAACAATGCAAGCATGTTCGGGATGCAGTTGTCCCCCTCGAAATGCAAAATGTTGCTTCAAGATTGGGTTGCATCGGCACCTGAATTAGTGATAGGGAGTGAAGTAGTCGAACGTGTAGACCGCTTCACTTATCTCAGGAGTCTCATCAGTGCTGATGGCCTGGTGACTGACGAAATCTCAGCTCGGATACAGAAGGCTCGATTGGCTTTCGCAAACCTGCGTCACTTATGGTGTAGGCGAGATATCCGTTTACTGACTAAAGGACGAGTGTACTGTGCAGTGGTTCGCTCCGTCTTACTTTATGGCTGTGAAACATGGCCAGTGAGATTAAAAGATATTCGTAGGTTATTGGTTTACGATCATAGGTGTCTTCGAAGCATTGCTCGTATATCATGGGACACCCGAGTGAGCAACGCTGTTATTAGGAATCAGGTGGTAGGTAAGAATGGCAGATCAATAGATGAAGTGGTGAAACTTCATCAGTTGAGGTGGTTGGGACATGTGTTACATATGGCTAACCACCGACTGCCTCGACGAGCTATGTTTTGTGGTGTAGGAGTAGATTGGAAGAAAGCTAGGGGTGGCCAAACCAAAACATGGCAGAAATCCATGAAGTCACTGACAAGTGGACTGAGTCATGTTGGTAGATGTAGGCTACTTGGTTTGGGTCCGCGAGACGAGTCACCAATGGTTAGAGACCTTGAACGACATGGCTCAAAATCGTTTGCAATGGCGCAGGTGCATCCATCTCAAACTCTAACCTGAATTCCTCATAATCTCTATCTTTCTCCTTCTAAATTTATATTACTGAATTATACTTCTCGAATCATATCTTCGCTCCTCAATCTTCTCCATTACTGCTAATACTTCTATTATTGCTATCACTCTTGGATTTGAACTGACAGTTGCGTCTCTGTGCTGATGTGGTATGGCAATCTAAACTGATGTACTTACGTGCGTACGAAGTTCTGCGTTGTATTTGTCTGTCTGTCTGTCTGCCTGTCCTTGGTTCGAATCTCGTAAGTGGCAGGAGTCGTGGACACGCACTGCCACTGATGAATCCTTATACCAGCAGGACTAAACAGACGTCTTACAGTGCTCTGAAGTTTCTAATAGTGACCTAACAATGATTTATTCATGTTTGCTTAATCAACACTTAGGGGCGGGGATAGTAAACTGAGTAAATTGAGTAAAACTTTTTCTAATTATTTATTTGATTCCATAATCCTTTATTATATGAGTAGCGTTTCTATTTAGTATACCACTTAAGCGAGTGAAATCTTCTAGATTTACAAACTGAATTTCACATTTGGTCATCATTAAGTTACTAGAGTGGTGGGTTAAGACGGAATTTCTTATTTACTATTGTACCCAACCGTAGCTGCTACCTTGATGTGGTGATCGGGCTTGCCTATCGTCATGACCCAACCGAACTATATTGGCTGGAACATATGTTTCTGTAGGTTCTACCATGCCAGGCAGGTCGATCGGAGAGTGGTGGGGCTGAAAGCAGCTATCCAAGGTCTGAGGGCGGAGTCGTACGGCTGACTGTAGAGGGGTGTGACAGCAGTAAGGTGTTTCCCTCGGACAACCAGCATCTGCAGCCATGCTGCCTTCTCACAAGGAAGGAATGGTTAGAAAAGGTCAACCCTGAAAATGTCACACCTCACCTCACCTCATGGATTTCCGTCTCCGTCGGTAAGGGTGCCTGCCCACTAAAGGCTTTCAAGAGCGGAGCTAACACTCAAAAAACCCTCCATAAAAAGGATGTGCATGACCGGCCTCAATCAGTTGTCCCTTGGACTCTACGGTCACGCACCCAGGTCTCTAAGACCAACACTAATCTACCTCCCTTTCAGGTCCCTCAAAAAACAACCTTCCACGGTGTGGGCAGCCGGGAAGTGACAACCGCCCTCATACCTGTAACAGCACGAGAGACCAAATTGGTCAAAATCAAATCCTACTATTGTATGACGAGATGTTTAACTTAGAATGAAGTGACTAAAGGACTTGTCATAAATAATGAAAATCATAAACGACAATTCTAAGGGAATAATAAATAATAACCAAATTAATTTGACACATAAATTCATTGATTTGCCTTGCGCATAAGTAATTAAGTGTACTATGTGTACCAATGTTTGTGAGTTTAAATAAATAGCTAATTAATTAATTTTGACACTTCTAAGTAAGATTGATCTATATAGACAGAATATGGATAATGAAAGTTGATCTTAGGTAGCCTTTCATTAATGGTGAATTTCATAACACAGCTTTAGCATCAAAACACATAATAAATAATTAGTAAGCAGGCACTTATATTAAGACCTATTATAAAACACTACATGCTACTAACTTGCATTTCCTCTAATGTTTCTTGTAGCTCCAATTCGGACTGCATAAAACGCTTAGGTTGGTCAGGGAACTTAGTTCGAGCTTCCTGATTGCTTAGAGCACGTTTTTCAAGCAGTACAGTAAGTCGACGGACAGTAGCTTCGGTTACTTCATTCGCTCCAACAGTTGTAGGTTCATTACTTGTTTCAGAATTCCATGAATCCGATACACTGAACGGTCGTGAAAAATCTGAAATACAGATATGAAACAATGGATACTTTACAAAAGAAAACTATATAAATGAACATAGCATACAATCAACCCACTAGATTAGTTGTTATGATTTTTCTATGAAGCCCCTAATGCATTTAAGATATCAGTGAAAATCCAAGTTATTACCATCTATTTCAAATACACCTTAGGTGGGACTAATACCAAATTAGTAGTTCAGGTTAACAAATATTTGTCTTGATATTTAGTTTGTTACATACATACGTGCTATCTATTAAGTGGGGATGTGGATTTCTTTCATTGTAAATTTCTTTGAGTGGGAAATGACGACCACAACGGATCAAGAAAGGAGTGAGGAACTGTCACCTAGGATGGTAGTTCCTCTTTCGATTTACCATCAGTGAAACATAAATTACATGTGGCGAGTATAGAGCACTGTATGTTCGTTACACAAAAGACTTCATTAAACTGTGCGTGAGGTGTCATTTTACACTAAGAGGATACGAAGGACATTTGAACAACAAGTCAGCTAGAGGGCAATATGTAACCATGAGACGCTATTTGCAGTACCAAAATGCAAAATAAGTTTAAAAGACTGATAAAAGTTTTCGTTCATTTCCATGCTTCATTGTGATTTGTTTAGGAAAAGCATATATACAGCCTTTAGTGGACGAAGATAGCTTTTTCCAAAAGTCACCAAAGTAAACCACGAAAGCAAACAATACAGTTGCGTTTTATAGGCATTTTAGGTTGTTAGTAAAAAATACCTTCGAGATCACCAACATCAGAAGAAGTATCAGAAAATGTAGATGTGTGATCAGCGCTGACTTTGGGTCGCTTTGCATCTGATTCAATTTGTAGAGATGGTGGAGGAGGAGGTTTTAAAGAGCGCTTCAACTGAGGGCTTGGAGACTGAATAAAAATAAAAGATAAATGGTATATTCTACCGCAAACGATAAGACATCTCGGACATCCATTTGCTTAGATTAAGCCGCTAGTCATCTCAAGGTCTAAATGCAATGCTCAATATTCCAATGACTAGATGTCGTAAGTCAAATATATATTCTCTAAGATGCTTCTTGCTTCTGGTGGTTCCATAGCAGCTGCAAACTACTGACTTAAAACCTTGTTAAACAGAAGTACCAGAATGTTTAGTTCGCTGTATATAATCCTCTTGTGAAATATGATTATCTTTACAGAGGATGTTATCACTTGTCGCGGTAAGTATATCTACAAAACAAACGGTGTAATGAGTCTTATAAACTGACTCTGACCTCAGTAGTTGTATTAGATGCAGCCGTAGCTAAAGACTGGTAATAAAGCATGCACATTAGATCACACCATTTCTGAGTTGCTCATCACTCACCACAATTAACTCATTTATTTGTGAAAATAGTGAATATATTTGATATTTTTCACTCCTGGATTTCGGTTTGAATAGGTTAGCGATCTTAAATTATTAATTTTTCACGTAAAACAGTGTTTTCAAGACCTGATATCCGTTACATCTTTACATGACGCTTTACTTACTTACTTTTACTTATGCCTGTTACCCCCAATGGAGCATAGGCCGCCCACCAGTTTTCTCCAACCAACTCTGTCATGGGCTTCCCTCTCCAGTTCTGTCCAATGTTTGTTCATTTCTCTCATATCTTTCTCTATTTCTCGGCGTAGTGTGTTCCTTGGCCTTCCTCTTTTCCTTTTACCTTGAGGGTTCCATGTGAGGGCTTGTCTAGTGACGCAGTTGGGTGCTTTTCGTAGTGTATGTCCTATCCACTTCCACCGCTTCTTCCTCATTTCCTCCTCCACTGGAATCTGGTTTGTTCTCTCCCACAGTTCGTTGTTGCTGATGGTGTCTGGCCAACGAATACGAAGTATTTTGCGTAGACAACTGTTAATAAACACTTGTATCTTCTGAATGATGGCTTTGGTAGTTCTCCATGTTTCCTCTCCATACAGTAGAACTGTCTTGACATTTGTATTGAAAATCCTGATTTTGGTGTTGATTGATATTTGTTTGGAGTTCCAGATATTTTTCAACTGTAGAAATGCAGCCCTCGCTTTGCCAATCCGCATCCTCACATCTGCATCGGATCCACCTTTCTCGTCGATGATGCTGCCAAGATATGTGAAGGTGTTAACGTCCTCGAAGGTATCTCCATCAAGCGTGATTCGGTTGGTGCATGTTGTGTTGCATCGGAGAATTTTGCTTTTTCCTTTATGTATGTTGAGACCTACTGCTGCAGAGGCTGCTGCTACACTGCTAGTCTTCTCTTGCATTTGTTGTTGAGTGTGCGATAGAAGAGCCAGGTCATCTGCGAAGTCCAGATCGTCCAGCTGCTTCCTAACTGTCCAGTTGATACCGTGCTTCCCTCCAGATGTTGACGTCTTCATAATCCAGTCGATGACCAGGAGAAAGAGAAGGGGTGAGAGTAAGCAACCTTGCCTGACACCGGTCTTCACCTCAAAAGAGTCTATCAGCTGACCTCCGTGATCGATCCTTACGAAATCCGGCCTGTTGATCTCGAAGTTGGGCGTCTACGAAGTCCTTCATTCTGTTTAACAATACTCTGTTGAAGACTTTGCCTGGTATTGAAAGAAGAGTGATGCCTCTGTAGTTCTCACACTTGCTGAGATCGCCTTTCTTTGGTATTTTGATCAGGTATCCTTCTTTCCAATCTGATGGTACTTGTTCCTCATCCCAAATCTTCTTAAAGAGAATGTGAAATATTTTCGCAGTTGCTTCCACATCTGCTTTCATTGCCTCTGCTGGAATGTTGTCTGGTCCTGCTGCTTTGCCACTCTTGATTTGTCTGATGGCTATACTGATCTCCTCAATCGTAGGTGCGCCAATATTAATTGGGAGGTCCTTGGATGCTGCTTCGATGTTGGGTGGGTTCAGTGGAGCTGGTCGATTCAATAGTTCCTTAAAGTGCTCCACCCACCTATTTCGCTGTTCGTCAGTGTTGCTGATTATTTTCTCTTCCTTGCTTTTCACTGGTCGTTCTGGTTTACGATAGTTTCCGGCGAGCTTCTTCGTTGTTTCGTACAATTGTCTCATGTTTCCTTCTCTTTCAGCCTTTTCCGCCGTCATTGCTAGATCTTCCACATATTTTCGTTTGTCAGCTCTGATGCTCTTCTTCACTTCCCTGTTTGCTTCTGTATACTCGGCTTGCGCCTTAACTTTCTCTGCTCTTGTTCGGCTGACATTCACTGCTGCCTTCTTGTTCCTCCTTTCTTCAATTTTTGCAAGAGTATCAACAGAGATCCATTCCTAGTGATGGTGCTTCTTGCGACCAAGGACCTCCTGACATGTTGAAGTGATTGCCTCCTTAATCCCTTTCCAATTGTTCTCCAATGTTGCTTCCTCTCCATTGAGTAGATCCTGAAAGGCCTGGAACCTATTGGTAAGGGCTATCTTGAATTCGTTGAGTTTTACGGTATCCCGAAGAAAGGCTGTATTAAACTTGTGTGATGTTGTCTGCCCCGTTGTCCAGTGCTTCTTTAGCTTCAATCTCATTTTGGCGATCAGCAAATGGTGATCTGAAGCTATATCAGCTCCTCTCTTGGTTCTCACATCCTCCATGGTCCTTCTGAACTTTTTGTTGATAAAGATATGGTCAATTTGGTTTTGAGTAGTGTGGTCCGGTGAAATCCATGTGGCTTTGTGAATGCGTTTGTGCGGGAATATTGTGCCACCGATGACCAGTTTGTTGAAGGCACATAGGTTTGCAAATCTCTCACCGTTTTCGTTTCTTTCTCCCAGTCCATGTCGTCCCATGATGTCTTCATATCCAGTGTTGTCCATTCCAACCTTGGCATTCAGGTCTCCCATAAGAATCGTCAAATCCTTTGGTGAACATTTATCGATGATTGACTGCAGCCTTTCGTAGAATTGATCTTTAACGTCGTCATTGTAGTCATTGGTAGGTGCATAACATTGGATGACGTTCATTGTAATGTCCTCTTTCTTCGTTTTGAAGGATGCTTTAATGATCCTCGGCCCATGAGATTCCCATCCTATCAGTGCCTTTTGTGCATGTTTGGACAGCATCAGTGCAACTCCTTGTGTATGTGAGGCGTTTTCCTCTTCATGACCAGAGTATAACAGCAGTTCCCCTGAAGCTAGTCTCAGTTGTCCTACCTGCGTCCAATGCGTTTCACTGATGCCGAGCACCTCGAGGTTGTATCTTTTCATTTCTGCCGCAACTTGAAATAGTCTTCCAGTCTCCCACAATGTACGAACGTTCCATGTACCTAAAAAAATGGTTGCTGTGGTTGTCAGAAGAGGCATCAGCCCCGTGACTTCCGAGGGAACTCGGCTTTCATCACGAGACGTCATAATTCTTCTTCCAACTCCCAGGGCAGAGTTAAAATGGTTTGAATTATTTTTTCTGGTTAGCGTTTTTTTGGCAAGTGAGATTTCAACGGAATGGGGTCGCCAACCCCATGTCCAACCCTCCTCCTTTATCCGGGCTTGGGACCGGCAGTAGCCCCTAATGTTCTACTGGCGGAGACATGACGCTTTATCTCACTGTTATAGGAGGTCAATAGGTTAGTATTACAGTGTCTACTTGGAAAGACAGTATTATGAAAATGAACCGGGGGAAATTTCCAAGTAAACAGCTTTGAAAATATGTGGTGCATATTCCAAGATCTTGAGTTTGATGTATCAATGTACTTTCCAAAGGCTTAGAAATACATATTACAAACTGATGTTTATCAGTTTAGTATTCCAGTTCATCACCTAAGAAACTAACTTGTTCTGCATAAAGAGATAAGTAGGCGTCATAGAACTTTAAATTTACAGACCAATATATCGCTTTGCATTGACTACGAATGGTACAGACTATTCCTCTCCACCTTCCTTAAAAAAAGATTCCTTGTCCATATCTAATTTTGCGTTTTCAGAAATAACACCTGAAAGTTGTACAACATTGACAGATCAACCAAACGATTGGAGATTAGGCTTAGCATAGATTGACTCATAAGGTGAGAATTCCTTATAAGTGGTCATCACAAACAGAGATATAGCTTCATGGTTCACTTGTTCAATTTTTTCTTCTAAGTGTGTTGTACCCATTTACGCTAAGTACAAGAAACTTAGACCGGTTCATTTTCACCCATCGTTTGATAACCTGATTGCTTTGAATTCAGGCTGAAGTTAACCAGAGATACGCATTCAGATATTCTTCATCAGTGAAGGTACAATCCAAGCGAGCCTCCGGATTTGGGTATTTTCATAGTTATTGGTCTGTGGCTTTGGAGAAATGAGCTTCAGAGAAAGCTTTTTTGCCCAGCTTGACTTTAAGAAGATAAGATATTCTCCGGATTTACCGAAAAAACCATGTGTTTTCAGACCAAAACCTGAGTTCATAAAGCAGCACTTTATGTTCTTGTCTCTAACAAGAACGTTACGAGACTCATCTGAATAAACGTTCTTGGTAATGCGTCGGCTAGAGTGTTCACTTTAAGATTGAGAATTAATTACCCCTCATCGGTAAACCAGAATTAATGGACAAAAAATGACACAGGAACCTGTTTACTTAATAATCACATCAGTTAAATAATACAATAATACTGGTAAAATATCAATCACAAATATCTAGATAGTGAACCTGGACTGTAATCACGATTTGTAGACAGCAAACACTATAAACAAAAACAGAGCCACAGAATGGAAGTGCTAGCGGCGACGCGAAAAAAAAAGAGAATAACAGTACGATCAACGAAGCCCAATTGTGTTGACACCTAATTTCCTTCCACACTGTCTTCTGAGTGTAAGCTTACTTTGGATTTACTCAACAGACTGACTCTAGAAATTCACTCCACTTCTCAATAGTACAGATTATGTTACGATGCAGCCTTTTTTGGTTTTTCTGTAAACATTTGATGTGCCCAAGTTCAAACTTGGAAGCGAAATATTTTAACGATTGCCATAACCAGAACGAACAAGATAGTGGAATAAAGTGAAAGTTCCTAATCCTAAATTTCAAGCAGTAACTTATTCGAACTTTCAA